CTGGGCCGCAGCCCACTATTGGCCCGGTTTCGAACTGGGCCATGTGATTGGCGGGCCCTTGCGCTCATGTACAAAGCTCTACTCACACAAATGGAGCTTCGCGCATGAGTGCAAGCACCCTTCGCTCATGAGAATGGAGCTTTGTGCAAGCGGTGGGCGCCATTCATGCGAGCAAAGGTCACCTGCACCTGCCGCTCACACAAATGGAGCTGTGTGCGTGTACACCTGCCATTCCCCCACGCCAGGTGACCAAGCTGGAAAGATTGGGGACTACTGACTTACTCCATACTGTGCATGATCCATTCACCTTGATCATATCTTCCTTCAGTTGTCTTTTCTCTGTGCAAAAGGATCTCAGATATTCTTTTAAAGTAGATATTTCGCCCCTCTTTTTCTTTTGATGCCCTCTTTGTCAACTGTTTCTACTGTTTCCTTTTTCGAATATCTCTGATACAGATTTACCAACAGTTTATATAAAGGCATTCCACTGATGACAGTTCCTTTTTCCTTGTCTTCACAGCCATCACCCACAAATTCTACAACTTCAATCAGCTATCTACAGTTTCACCAAGATTTTTTCCCCCAAATGATTATAGATAAACTCAGTCCCCATGTATATATGTGAAGTTAAGATATTTTCCCCCAATGAAATCATTTTACACTTACTTAAATTGAACTGCGTATGCCGTTGAGATGAATATTCATCTAATTTAAGAGATCCGTCTGGAACGCTTCACATTTCGTTTTTCACCACCCTGTATACTATGATGTCATCTGCAGATTTGGCCAGCTCAGTCTTAGTCTCTACTGTATATCACGATCATTTATGGACACAGATCTTTGAGAAACTCTACTTCTTGTTTCCTTCCTTTCTCTGAGAATATTGCCCCTCTGTTTTGATTCTTTGAGCTTTTTAAACCGATTACCACTCAGTGAAAGGAAAAATTCTGTTACCCTGTTCCAATTTCAAGACAGGGTTGGCTATCTGTTGCTTTCGTCTGCAGGAAAGGCAGTTGCCAATCCAACATCCTTCATGGTAGCCTTCTTGTCTTCTTTCAGCATCCCTTTCATTCTTTGTTATCTAGCGGCCCAACCACCCTCTATGGCTATTTCTTGGATGGGGTTCTGTTTTGTTTTGAACATATGTTTAAAAGCTTCTGATTGTTTTCCTTAATTGTTTTTTGACTTAGGTTCTTTTTCTACGTGTCTTATTACCATCTGCACAATATTTCTGCCAGGACTTTTGTTCCTGTTTTATTCTCCTCATTAGGACAGCCTTCTCATTTCCTGCAGGAAACCTTCATAACTTTTACAGCTTCCCAGCTACTACTACTGAAAGTGGGGGGGAGGCATGCTGGCCTCTTCCTAGATTTGGTTGGCCCATTCTGATACTGTACAATATATTCCTGATGAGTCTCAAAAATTGAGGGACCATGTGAAGATACTGTGAAGAAATTTAAACCCTTGACTTTATTTTTCAGATTCTTTCACCAGCCCCCTCATTTTTGGGAAGTTTCTATTTTCTACAAGGGAAAAAAATGAATGAAACTTCCTAATTTGAGTATGTAAATTAACAGCTATTGAATGTGATTTCCAGATATAATGTGCAGTAATGGTTTTACAAGCTGGAGGAGGCCGTAAAGTCACATGCCTCTCACCATTATTGTGGGTTCACAGACTCTCCCTTATAGACTGTCAGCACGTAACCACTGCATAATTAAAATGCTTCGTTCAGTTCTTTCAATAAAGCTTTCCATTCTCTTCTTCTTAAATTAATGTAAGGAAGTTATGGTTCTCAGGCATATTTCATGGACATCGGTCTCTTCAGATATATTACATAGAATAGTATAGAATATGAAAAATGTAGAGAAGGACATGCAAAGAAAAACCAAATGCACATATACAGTATAGATGCTACCTCACTCAGTATAGTAACTGTGAGAGGGATCTTGGAATCCTAGTGGACAATCACTTAAATATGAGCCTGCAGTGTGCAGCAGTCACCAAAAAAGCCAACACAGTCCTAGGCTGCATTAACCGAGGGATAGAATCAAGATCATATGAAATGTTAACATCACTTTATAATGCCTTGGTAAGGCCACACTTGGAATACTGTATCCAGTTTTGGTCACCACGATGTAAAAAAGATGTTGAGATTCTAGAAAGAGTGCAGAGAAGAGCAACAAAGATGATCAGGGGACTGGAGGCTAAAACATATAAGGAACGGCTGCTGGAATTGGGCATGTCTAGTTTAATGAAAAGAAGGCCTAGGGCTGACATGATAGCAGTATTCCAATATCTCAGGGGTTGCCACAAAGAAGAGGGAATCAAGCTATTCTCCAAAGTACCTGAGGGCAGGACAAGAAGCAATGGATGGAAACTAATCAAAGAGAGAAGAACGTAGAACTAAGGAGAAATTTCCTGACAGTTAGAACAATTAATCAGTGGAACATCCTGCCTCCAGAAGTTGTGAATGCTCCAACACTGGAAGTTTTTAAGAAGAGATTGGTTAACCGTTTTGTCTGAAATGTATAGGGGTTGGGCTAGAAGACCTCAAGCATTCCATCCAACTCTGTTATTCTGTTCTGTTCTATTTTCTGAAAGGGAGATGGGAGAATTCAGGGCAACACTACTTTTAACTTTTGGATAACTTCACCAAAATCACTCCAAGGTCCCAACCGTTTTTCCTAAAGGGTCATAAACTTTTCAAAGAAAAATATTTCTTGAGCCTCAAAGGTGAACTACGATTACTAATATAGTCACTCCTCCCTCTACACTAGCTCATGATGTGCAGCTGCAGTTATGAGTTATATGAATCCTGATGGCCAACCAAAGGATCACTGCAGCAATGCTGGAGAAGGGTTTTGAATGATAAAAATGACAGTGTACATAAAAATGACAGTGTACACAACTTTAAGACTTGTGGACTTCAACTCCCAGAATTCCATAACCAGCTATGCTTGAAGTCCAGTAAGTTTTAAAGTTGCCAAGATTGGACACCCCTGGTATAACCTATTGACCCTGGGGATGTGGCCAAGGGGATCCTCATTATCTGATATTCTCAGGGACAACGAGTTAAGAATTTTTCAAGAACATCTGAAAGCCTGTCCTGAATCATGGATTCCTGTCTTAAAATAACTATTGGGGGGGGATGTTATTTTTATCAGTAGCCTATTATTGCCATCTAGTGTTCATCATTAAGATATATTTATTTCTGTCACTTAAGTGTGGGGAAAGATTTAGCCTGTATGATTCAGAGATTCAGCAGTTGGTTTCACAAACACGGCATATCCTTTCACCTGACTCCCCTTAGCACTTGTACTGTATATATTTACACTTGAGTTTTCCTCATCAATTTATCATTGTTGAGTTATGATCTCTATTCTGGCCATTCCTTAATATTAGAAATAATTTGCTGTGGTTGCAGTGATTTCTTCCTCAGCTGAAAATCCCATATGATGATCTATACTCCCACATTTATAAAATATATTTATAAAATATAGACTTCCACAAAGTGCTTCACACCTATTGCACTAGTAGAATACCCTACCAATAAGTGCAAAGGAATTCTGGGAAATTAGTCCCAGTCTGTGGGTGGGGGGAACCTGTCATAGTATTATTTTTGCAGTGACTCAAGTGTGGATTAGCCTCACTATTACATAGAGGAATCCATAGTTGTGGGATACTGCAGGTTAGATGCATGGACAATCATTTTTCAGTTATGACTTTTAGGATCCAGAGGAAATGTCAACTGGCAGGAACTAAAAAACGCGCCTTCTCTGCTATAGACCCTGCCCTCTGAGGTATTCTCCTCTCAGAGTTGAGGATTACCCCAGCCCTGCTGACTTTCTGGGTTTATACCAAGCCTGAGGCCCTTAGGGTGTGAAGGGCCCTGCTTCCTGGCTACACTGTAATTTAGAATGAGATTTTTTTCTCTTGACTGCTATATATATTTAATTTGTATTGTACTATAACAATTTTACGATTATTTGCTACTCAGAATCACTTGCTTGAGATGGGCAACTATAGAATTTGAATGAATGAAATATGGATGGATAGATAGATAGATAGATAGATAGATAGATAGATAGATAGATAGATAGATAGATGGATGGATGGATGGATGGATGGATGGATGGATGGATGGATGGATGGATGGACAGACGGATGGACGGACACAGACAGACAGACAGAGCAATATGTGCCTTTCAGATTCAATTGTTAGGCAATTTGTGTTAAATCTGAGAAAGGGAAATGTGCATCTAGATTCCTTGCCCAAGACATAAATTGATAACCAAATTTAAGAGGTCAAAAGGAGCGTTTCATTCTGAAAATATACTAAGGCAGCAATATTCATAGTACTTTTGCTAACAGACATTGCAGGGTTGATAATGTTGCTGTGAATACATTTTGTTAAAAGAATGTAAGGCAATTATGCCATCTTTGTGATTCTGGTTGTTCTGGTTATTTTATTTATGCCTGGTCCACTGGATCCAGTAGTGGGATTCAAAATATGTGAACAACTGGTTCTCTATGTGGATGCCGCTTCCAGAAGTCCATTCTGGGCCTGGGCAACAAAAAATTAGCTACTGTTTCTGTCAAACTGGTGCGAACTGGCTGAATCCCACCACTGACTGGATCTCTATTAATTATATTTTATCTTGCTGTGATACAAAATGAAAATTTCAAAAACAAAAGCACGGTCAGAGGAGCTTAAGCTCCTCTTTAAGCAACTCTCTTCAAATTCCTCTTTGGTAATTCTTGAGGCAATAGAGAGATACAAGCATCCTAGAAATTGCATGACTGAAATTCTAGATTTAGATGTTTACAAGTTTATATTGTCATTATGTCACAATAAGTGTACGTATGTACATACTCAGCTGGATACAATTCAAGATCAAGTCTGACTCCAAAATTATTATTTTTATACAATTCTCTGGTAACTTGTCTCATCTCATATCCTACCAGCATATCATGTTTCTTTTTCTCCTTATGTCTAGTTTGCAGCACCCCTCCTGTCAATATGAAAGTGAAACTCGTTAACCGAACAGCCTTGCTGGTGACCTGGAATCAACCAGAGATTATCTATCACCCACCCATTATGAACTATATGATTTCCTATAGTTGGAGTAAAAACGAAGACGAAAAGGAGAAGACGTTCACTAAGGACAGTGACAAGGACCTGGTAAAGCTACAGCCGTCTGACATTGCCATTAGTGTTAAGATAACCTCACTTTCTCTGCCCTCAGTTGAAATTATGGATATAAAATGTCTAGGGGCTTAAACTGGTTTTTCAAATTTGCATTGAGTTCCATTAACAACATGGATGGCATTGAGAACTAAACCCATTTCATAATAAGAAACCACCTTAATCTCATTCTTTCTATGAATGGTTTAGAAGAGCATAGAGCAGTGGTTCTCAACCTGTGGGTCGGGACCCCATTTGGGGTCGATCGACCATTTCACGGGGGTCGCCAAGCAAGACTGTCCGCCATTTTTTTGTCCGCCATTTTTTTTCCCTTTTCCGGCGGGTGCCTTACCTCCCTTGGGCTGGGCCAGCTGGTGGTCGGCCTGCTCCGTCTCTGCCGCTTGCCAGCTATGCCTCGGCCGGCGCAGGGCGCGGAACCACGCATGTGCGGCGCTCCCGGGCAGGGAAAGTCCTCGACTTAACGACCAGTTGGGTAGTCCTCGACTTACGACCGGTTTAGTTCTCGACTTACGAGCGGTTTAGTCCTCGACTTATGACCGGTTGGGGTCGCGGCATTAAAAAGGTTGAGAACCACTGGCATAGAGTCTGTATATCAGGAAAGTTCAAAGACGTTGCCCCTTAGGAATCCAATTTAGATGGTTGTATTAAAGTCTCCATCCAGCCACCTCATTCTTTGTCGTCCCCTTCTTCTATTGCCCTCAATCTTTCCCAGCATTAGGCCCTTCTCCAGTGAGTCCTTCCTTCTCATTAGGTGGCCAAAGTATTTGAGTTTCAACTTCAGGATCTGGCCTTCTAAAGAGAAGATGGTAGAGGACAGGAAGACCTGGAAGAACGTTGTCCATGGGGTCGCGATGGGTCGGACACGACTTCGCAATTAACAACAAAAAATTAAAGTCTATGTTTTCTCCCTACACTTAATCTGGAATGCCTCTCTGAGAAGATTTCCTTAAAGGGAAGCTACTGGTAGTGATCTTACAAATTATTGGCGATACCCTGGGCCTGTTCCAGGTTCACCTTATTTACAGGGTTAATATGATTGTGTAATGAAGAAACAGCTAAGATTTAACAAGAAACATCAGCACAAGTCATGGAAATGCACAAGTAGGTTGGAATATCAATACAGAGACAAACGACAATTACAAAAGTTCTTAAAATTCCCCGACAATTACAAAAGTCCTTAAAATTCAATGTGTAAAGAAGGAGAATGACACATTCCATTTTGCGAGGGCTCCATTTATTGTTAATCAAAGAAAGTCTGTGAAATAATGTAATCAGTTGTTGTATATGCACATAAAAATGCAGCCACAGTGAGTTAAATTCCTAATGACAGTTATCTTTTCTCCTTTGCAAATACATCCTCCTTGGGTGCCATTCAGTTTTAGAATAATGTCTCTTATTCTTTCTTAGATTAAGGCACTTTTTTACTCAATTTTTCATTTATACTTTCAATTTCTCCCCCCCCACACACGAAGTTGTTACCGGGGGAAACTAGTGCTTCATGAAATCATGAAGCAATCTTGCAGAAGGAGATGTAGCGGTTAGGGCTTTACATTTTAAACTTGTCATCCCCCCCCCCTCTTAAAAGAGATGTTTCTTTATCCTTTTAATGAATAATAAAGACAGCGAACATTAATCACAAGAATTATTTAGTCACAAATGCAGGAACATTTTCCAAGGTGTACCTGTGGCCCATTATCAATTCCTTGGGTTCCTTCAGGATTGATTGTTTAGCTGTTAGGAATGCTAGACTAATTGGCATTCAGAAGCCAGGCTTTCCAGCCAAATTCAGTCTGTGGCCAATCAAAATGGATGTTTCTATTTTAACTGGCTGTTTCAGCTGCTTACATGATGCATATTTCCTTTCCTGTATCTCCTGTATGTTATCCCCCAAAGATTACTCCCACAGTCATGGAAAGAAAATAAAAAGTAGGATGCAAACATTCTCACCCTCTGTGGGCAATCAGGCTATGAGAGAGTGGCAAGACCAGTCTCCCAAGGTGGGTAGGCAGGTCAGTCTTATTCCTGACATAACATGTGTTCATTCTAGTTCAGTGATGGTGAACCTTTTAGAGACCGAGTGCCCAAAACCTGGCCCCACCCCATTCCACCCCCTGCCCCATCCCCATTTCACCCCCCAATCCCCCGCCTCGCCTGCCCTCAGGGTCACTCACCGCCTCCAGGGCGTGCCACAGATCACCCAGGCAGCCCAGCAGCGCCATGGCGGCCACGCCCTCTGCCTGCGCCCCACTGCATCAACTGTGCGGGATGGGGCATGAGAGCAGAGTCTTGTCTCTGCTGCCTGGCTGCCATGTCCTTGGCTGCGCTGCTCCACGTGGGCCATGCTCAGGGGCGACTCTCCTTCATGGGGGCTGCTGGAGAGGAGGGGATCATGGGGGGAGGCGAGGCTGGGACAATGGCACGTGTGCCCATAGAGAGGGCTCCGAGTGCTGCCTCTGGCACCCATGCCATAGGTTCGCCACCACTGTTCTAGTTCATCCACTTGCACATCTCTTTTATCCCACTTCTGCATTAATTTCAGTTTCTTTTAACCCTCATACATTTTGCATTGAAATACGCATTTTTTTCAAACAGCTTGTATTTCTCATGGTAATGTACAATTAAGTACGTTATCTAAAATACACTCCTTAAATCCATGCTGAGGCATTTTTGCTGAATTACCCTAGTCAGAGAACTATAAAATCCAAAGGAGAGTTCTTTTGTGGTGTGTGCATTAGAACTTTTTCTTCCCACAAAAACTAAATAATTGTTTCTTTTGGCCAGCCATTTTTATTTTTTTTTTGCATATGAATTTAAGGAACTTGTAAAAGGACCCTAAATTCTTTTTGCAAATAACAGTTTAAAAGAAAGAATTTCCTTTCGCGTTTCCTTTGTCCAGTTCAGTTATCGGAAGATTCAGAGAAAGCCTGTAGAATCAGCTACAAGGTTTAGCAGGAAGGAAAGGAATGACGGCCTATGCATTATGTCATCATTGTGACATCATTACACAACTGAGACAGCTAAACAGGTCTGTGACAGATGTCAGAACCCAAGTATATATAACTGCATCAATTGTGAGATGATGTCATGATCCATGTGTCAAATTTTGATCTCTTGGTGACTTGTTCTGGAATCCTAAGGGACCAGGTAGAATTATTCCTTGGCTGAAATAAACCATAATAGCCCAGACAAGGATCTAATAAACTTGACATCAATTTGAAATTCTGCATCTTTTCATATTTTTCTGGTACTAGCTTCTGAATCACAGACATAAACAGCATTAGAAAAGTATTTTTATGCTTTGCATTAAATGATACAGAGAGCCAGTATTGTGTAGTAGTCAAAATGTTAGACTAGAAGCAAGGAGACCCAGGATCCGGTTCCCCCAACCATGCAAACCTACTGGTGACTTTGGTCCTGTTACTCACAGCATAACCCACCTCACAATTGTTGTGGTTGTGATTGGAATAAAATAGAGGAGATGGCATCATGTACGCTCGTGAATGAAAAGGAGAGTATAAATTAATCATGAATGAAGGCAAATATAAATAAATCATTATAAATCTAATCGGTCCTCATGGCAAAGAGAGATAAATCCAGATCAATCTTCCATATAGCCATTTTTTTCCAAACAGCAGTATCAGTTGAATTTCCTCAAACATTTGTAAGCCCACTTTTGTGCCTGTAGAGTACTGGGGGCCTTTCAGATGCCACTAAATACTGGGAAATACTGGGGGCCTTTCAGATGCCACTAAATTAGAACTCATCATTCACCCTAGATAATGCTGACTAAGGTTGCTAAAAATTGTGGCTCAGCAATTTCTGGTTGGGAAGAGAAATTTGGAATTTGATGCCACTATCAATGTCTCCTACAATGTGTCCAGTACTCAGATCTAAAGCAGGCATGGTGTTTTGGATCTTGAGTGGGCATAAAGGAGAGAAGCAACCTAAAACTAAGGAAAAATTTCCTGACAGTTAGAACAATTAACCAGTGGAACAACCTGCCTCCAGAAGCAGTGAATGCTCCAACACTGGAAGTTTTTAAGAAGACACTGGACAGCCATTTGTCTGAAATGGTATAGGGTTTCCTGCCTAAGCAGGGGGTTGGACTAGATGACCTCCAAAGTCCCTTCCATCGTCGTCGTCATCATCATCATCATCATCATCATCATCATCATCATCATCATCACCACCACCACCACCACCACCATCCCTGTTAGAGCCATATCTTTTCTTTTCCTTTTTTTTTTTGCCCAGTATCTACAAAGATTTAAGAAAATAACAGCTTGAGTTCAGCAAGCATTAAGGAAGGAGTGACAGGGCAGATGCACCCTGTCACCATCTCTGTAATGCTTCTTGGTTTCAAATGCAGATTTTCCTAAGAACATGCAGCTATGCACATCCAAGAGAAAGTATGAATTCTTCAAAAGAAAAAAAAAAGTGCCTATAGGCATATTGAAGCTGGCCATGCCAGATCCATGGTATTTTTGCCAGCTTCAGATCTTGCTAGCAACTAAATACTGTACATCTCTGATATCTTCCCATAATGACTTAGTCGGTATTCAGATTCCTAATGTAGGAACATGCAGTCATACCTCACTACTCGACTGCTTTAAAATGCATTGAATTTGGTACTCAGCTGCATTTTGATGTGAAAATTTTGTCCCGGTAATCATTGTTTGTTTGGTATTCGACCTGCAGGCTAGAACTTGTTGGTGTCGGCTACCTTGTGACTCGCTACCCTTTCTGGCCAAAACAAAGGGTCCTGTGTTAAGTCACATGGTTTGTTTGGTCCTCATCGTTTTTAATACTCATTGTGCCTCCCAGACCCAATTAAGCCACTGTATATGGGGACAGGTATTTGCTGCTGCCTTTTCTTTCTTGAGCAGATGCCCTAATAATATTATGAAATTTGGCTAACTTGGTTCGAATCATTATTCAAATCATTTTGTTTCCAATTTCATTGGGGGTTGTTTGCTTATTTTACAGAAAGGGTAATCCTTCTTCCTGTCCAAAGTGTGACATTGCATTGATTTCTCTATCCTTTGGCACTATTTCTTTACTGTGGACTTTCTTTCTATTCAAGTAAACTTACCATTTCCATAAAATGTATTCAAGTATTTTTTTATGTTTTACAGACTGATCAGTCAGCATCCTGTTGGGAGGGATAAAACTGAATAACATCTATTTTTTTTAAACAGAAAGCCATCATTAGCCATGTCTCACCTGACATCCTTTATCTGTTCAGAGTTCAAGCAGTTTGCCGAAATGACATGCGCAGTGATTTTAGCCAGACAATGCTCTTTCAAGGTAACACCATCCAAAATTCCTATACCCCTGTAACGTTCTCTCAGCCGACAAAAGCGTATAGGAAAAAAATAAGTTTGCAAGCAGCTATGGGATTTAGGGTCTGTGCTTACCTCCAACTGTGCTTACATCTACTCAAGGGAAGTAGAAACATAGCTTAAGGGAGAAAACTTTGCTTATTTAAGTTATAGTATTGTGAGCTCACAAGATACTGAATTTCCTTCCAAGCTTGGAGTCTTATTGCTAATGAAACAGAAGTGAGCAGTAATTATCATTGTTGGCTACCCATGTACACTGAGAGTTTGGAGTCAGTGTGCACTTGCAGCCATCACTTCCTGTGGTTCAGTGGCCTGAGTAAAGATGTATTTTTACATTAAATTATGTCTGTGCTTGAAGATCATCTCGGTAGGGAGGAATCCCTTGCTCTACTTCCCCTAAGCTGTATTTGCATCCTGTATGTGATCTTGCTTAACTACAACACTACCATTAAGTTAAATACCTTTAGCTATATTAGCCTTTTTATAGCTCAATGTCACTGAGGACTCACGATAGAGTAGATGCTACATGAATTCTAACAAGCCCAGTGTCAGATCCAGGAAGCAGCGAGCTTCTAATTTCCCAGGAGATTTATAGCAGGATATGTAACCATCTTGAAAAGGTGCTCCTGGAAGGCAAGGATTTTCTTAACGGTAGAAAGTTGAAAAGCAAAAATCACAGAAGATTCCATGTATACATTGTGTTCACAGAGGTTTTTGGATTTCATTCAGCAGCTCCCAAAAGAAGCAAGGTTCAAATTCCCACAGATAGAAAGAACTCTAAGTGATTTTGGGTTACTCATTATCTCTCAGGCCAATTCGCCTCGGCATGTTATTGTATGAATATACTGTAAGGGAAAGGTACCTCATAGAGAAAAGGTGGATGTAACAAATAAATAAATTCTGATTTTTTTTTCATATGTGACTGAGTGAAGCAGGCGGCAGAATTGAATGTTCCAACTGTTCTTTTATCGAGGACATGAATAGCTTGATGGATTTTTGTCACATCCCATGTCTATCTAAGTAGTGTAATTGGTTTGAAATAAATGGGCCTGTCATGCTGAAAAACAGGGAAATGTTAGCTTGAAAGAGGAAAGGAGGATTCCTTTGGTACAGAATTACATCAATTAATCCTTGTTCTTTATTTTGGATTTTCTATCATGTTAAAAATGCACCACAAGAGATTCTTCAGCCCCATTTTTAATGGGACTAGTAAATAATCTATGCACAGCATAGCTACTTTCATTGAGAATTAAAGTATTTAAATCAGGAAGGATAACGTTTTGATTTCATGGGTGTTTATGATACTGCTCACATTGAAGCTCCAAAGTCAGGATGATCAAGGTCAATTGCTCAATTTTAAGAAACAGTAGTTTGAAGACCAATCTGGGTCTCTAACAACATCTTCTAGTTACCTAATGCCTGTAATTTCTGTTGCTCCCCAATAGTCCATTGATTAATTTATTTAATTTTGTTTATGTAAAAAAGCACGGTTATAATATGTTTTTGTTTAAGGTTTTAGAATTTATAAATTGTGGCTTATAATTTTATTTTGTATATATGGAAACCTTTAGATGTAAGTGAACTGTCCATTATATGGTGAGCATCAAAGTGTAGCGTCTCCTATCCGGTTTTACAGCCTGCTTAGTTTAACAAGGAGCACGGTACCAAATTCATTAAGATTGCTTTCATGGCACTTATCTAAAATTGTCTCACTGTGTGTTTTGTATAGTTAATTGGCACTTGGATTTAAATAGCAAGGCGCCTGCTTATTTTTAAAGCCGATTTCCGCAATCTACGGCCTCTTGATCTGTTGGGACTGCAGCTTCCTAAATTCCAAATATATTTAGAGCTTGGGAAAGTCTACTCTGGAAATTATAGGCTGGTAGAGAAATAAAGGAGGTTAGAAATAACAGGAAGGTGTTTTGGTTGAGGATAAATATCCAGTTATATGGATTTATGCGTTTTAGAAATATAAGTATGGGAAAAGCAAACTTAAAAAAACCTTCACAGATCAGTTAAGAATCATTTATTTGTACTGCTACTATTGTTCTTCAGTATGAGTAGTTCTAATATTTAATAGTCTCAATGGGATTTTTAAAGCTCTGAAAGCATCAAGGACCCCACAGTTCAACCATGAGCTACAAATACAGTCTCTTCTCTTGATTTTAAAGTATTTCTTTGTTATAGATTCTAAATTAATGTTTGGCAAATACTTTATGGTTTTATAATCAAACCTTCTTTTCTCTTTCCCTCCCTCCCTCCCTCCCTCCAGATAACACAACTCGGATTTTTGAGGGGACCAGAATAGTAAAAACAGGAGTGGTAAGTGAGATGATTCACTAAAATGATTGTAAAGCATTTATAACATCTTCTCCAGCAGGTGGCAGCATAGCGTAACAAATATCTCATAAAATGTGGCCTGATTGAAATTGCAATTTCAAATTTTTTGATTGGGTGTTCTGAGCTATCTTTCCACACTGGTTGATTAGGATTAGGATTGCAAGATCACACGTCTTGAAATCATTGTACTCTGAGTATTAAATAGGGGAGACATGATAGCAGTGTTCCAGTATTTGAGGGACTGCCACAAAGAAGAGGGGGTCACGTTATTCTCCAAAGCACCAGAGGGCAGGACAAGAAACAATGGTTGGAAACTGATCAAAGAGAGAAGCAGCCTGGAATTAAGGAGAAACTCCTAACAGTGAGAATAATTAACCAGTGGGACAGCTTGCCTTCAGAAACCGTGAGCGCTCCATCACTGGAGTTTTTAAGAAGAGATTAGACAATCAATTGTCTGAAATGGTATAGGTTCTCCTGCTTGAGCAGTGGGCTAGACTAGAAGACCTCCAAGGTCCCTTCCACTTCTATTCTATTCTATTCTATTCTATTCTAATTCATTAATGTTTTATAAAAATAGTTTTTGTAAGCCAAAGTTTGCCCCGAAGAACATTGCACTATGTTCAGGTAACTCTCAGTGGACTATATTAGCAGGCAGACAATTTGGTGGCTAATTTTGTTCAGTTCTATTAAGAACCCAAAATTATGCTGAGCTTTTGTGACAGAAATGTTTGATCTGTCTTGTCCAGTCTCATGCCCTCCAGATATGTTGAGGATACAGTTCCCCATATCACTGCCTTTGCTAGCTGGGAATTGCACCCTAGCAATAAGAGATCATCGAGAAATTTCCTCATATTTCGCATTATATATTCAATTTATCTTCTATGTTTCAAGAGAGTAGGATTAAGCTTGATAGAAGACAATAACGCAATAACAGGAACCTCTGGAGAATGTGTATGCGTGTATATGTGTATGTGCATATTTATATCTCAGAGGTTATCACATTTAAGTCTAAAGCATGTCATTCCATATCATTCCAGTCTAAATTGCTCATCTGATTGATCCTTCTAGTTGCTATTTGGCTTTTATCGTGTTAGTTATGTATGACTATCCATTCTGTACCAATAGGTTGAGCAAATCTAGTCATTAACATACATCTTAATTTGTGTAAAGATTAACTTGAACATCTCTAGCAGTGATCTAGTTTTGATATTCCTACAAGGTCGTTACTTAGCTATCTATTTTGGAATATAATGGTGATGGCATGCTTTCAAGGTACTTACCGTGGATTACATAGCCTCATTTAATTACTGTTTTATAAACTCAATTAAGATGGGCAAAGTATTGTGAAAAAGTGGATCGTTTCTCATTAAGCCATGTTTATGCCATGATTAGGGACACTGGAATTCCTGTAAGATTAATTTAAATAACATTAAGGTTTATTATTATTTAAATTCATCCCAAACTGCCAATATTGATGCTGTAAATGTATGCAATTCACAGCCAAGTCCATATTTCATGCTGGCATAATGAATAGGTAACACTCTGCAAGGCGGTGTTGTAGGACACACTTCCCCTGTTTGGTACTATCCAAATGTACAGGTGGTCCTCGCTTATGACCACAATTGGGACCAGAAAATTTACCGTTAAATGAGGCATCATGTGACCGCACTCAATTTTATGACATTTCTGTCATGGTCATTAAGTGAATCAACGTGGTCGTTAAGCATGACTGTGACATGCAACCTTCCTTACCAGCTTCCTTATTGATTTTACTTTTGGAAGCTGACCGGGAAGGTCCAGTTGATGATCCCATGACTGCAGGACAATGCAACTGTTGTTAACTGCCAAGCACCAGGATCGTACTCACCTGAGCACAATGAAAGTGCAATGGTCGTAAGGGTGAAGACTGGTCATAAGTCACTTTTTTAAGAGCCATCATAACTTCAAATGATCGCTAAATGAATGGTCATAAGTTGAGAACTAACTGTAATGGGCCACAGTAGTCAGGGTTTCCAGCCAGTCTAGGCCCCATCTTAAACAATAGAGAATTTTCAGTCCGGAGTTCTGCTGCCCCAAAATATACAAATATTTCTTTGTGGTATATAAAGTTATAGCAGTATAGATTGTTGAGTGAAATAGATTCGGAGATCTGTTATAGTTCATGTTAATGATTTTGATGATAACAAAGTTAACTTTAATATTTTCCCTCCCCATTCTCTATTATTTCTTTAAAATCCTGTCTACGTGCCATTCTTTTGAAAAGTCAAGGTTTTTCAGTGAATTGCAGTATATTACATAAAAATAATAATGGAGAACATGCTGCCACAATCTTAATTTGATAGTATAACCCATTTCCTATTTTGGAGCTGCCTAAACTTCCTATAGATAATTTGACTCCTCTTTAATTGGGAGCTATGTACACACCAAAATACACACCAAAAGCTACGATACACCAAAATACTTCAGCGTTGTCAGTGAAGCTCCAAGGCAACATGAAGAAAACTCTTAAGCTATTAATATTATAAACTGCATACCTTTTAAGAAGGCATTATTACTGTATCTTAAAAATACTTGCTTGGGAAAAAGAGAAAAATTACAATTGATCCATCCCACACATACTTTATAAACATAGTTTACAAAATGGAACACAGATAATAATAACAGAAAATAATGCAACATTATGTAATTTAAAAGTTGTTCAGATTTGGCAAAAGATATTCATGTACAATCAATCTAAAATGGTGTTCTTAGGTCCCATATACCTAATTGTTTTCTATAAGGAAAATGTAAGCATGTTTTCCTTAAGTGATTGGATGCTAGCTGCATTGTTAATGTAGAAGAATGACAGACTCCCTTAAATACATTCTTTTGACTTATTTAGACTGCAATTCTGGCTTCATTTCCCTAGAGGTCAACCAGTGACTGTAAGCGGGTCTTCAATTTAAGTAAATATGCTTTGGATGGTGTTCTTAATCTTCTAGATTAAAGTAATTGTATCTGTAATTGGACAGCAGAAGGGCCTCTTTCAAACATAATAAGCAGTTTTATGTCTTCTTGTGTTGTTTGTCTTGTAAATTTTGTCTTTGCTGCCAGCTAGCTTTAACTATAACGGTTGAAATATACTTGTCTTATTTAAACAGAATAATGGGCAGAATGGAGTGGTTGGAAAGAAAAAGAGAACAAAAGGAAAAAAGAGCCGAGGTAGCATGTCAGGTACCTCTACTGATGCTCTTTCTGCTGTGTTTTCTTCTCTTGTTCCCCCTCGTGATTTCTTCAAGCCGACAGCTTCTCCAGCACCTTCAGCCGACATGGCTCCCATCAGTTCTGGTTCTTCTACTTGGACTTCCTCAGGCCTCCCCTTTTCTTTTGTCTCCATGGCAACGGGGATGGGGCCTTCCTCTAGTGGGAGCCAGGCTACAGTGGCTTCCGTGGTCACTAGCACCTTACTGGCCGGTCTAGGATTTAGTAGCAGTGGTATTTCTTCTTTCCCTAGTACGGTCTGGCCAACCCGGCTCCCGACCTCTGCCTCGACTAATAAACAGTCGGCCAGGCCAGTGGTGGCTACCACCGAGGCATTGTCTTCTCCAGCACCAGACAGCGATTCTACTCTCACAAAAGACAATGAAGGAGCTGAGGATGGAGAGAAAGATGAAAAAAGTGAAAGCGAGGATGGCGAAAGAGAGCATGAGGAAGAGAGAGAAAAGGATTCCGAGAAAAAAGAAAAAAGTGGTGTGACCGAAGCTGCTGAAACACAAGATAATAGTGAAGCTACAAACACCACTCTTTCTCCCAACAGAACTATGGAGGAGGGAGGAAATGAAACTATATCTGATCATGAGCAAAGCCAAAATATTGTACCAACAGGTAGGACTCCTGAAAGAGGAGAAGGAGTTACAGGAATAGACACTGAATTCAATAAAGTCAGTTCCACCCAAGTGCCGACACTATTCATAAATGAACAATATACTGGTGAGATTCCAAGAAGACCAGAAACAGCATCAACATCTTTACCAAAAGATAATAGATTTATTACCATTTATCCAGGTGAGTTGTTTTTGTGGAAGTGGGTTGGATTTTTTTCAATAATTAAAACACAATTAACAAAATTAACACCAATGTTTTTCAACTGTTACCAATTTGGGGGGATTCATATTTTAATTACACTAATTAGAAATATAGATAATCTGTACATATTTTGTAATAGAAGCTAATTTCCGTATTGTAGTCCAAACAGTTCATTTTTATTTCATATATCAATTGATCAAGATAAAGAGTAATAATAATAAAGGTTGCACATATTTATTTGCTGGTCAGAAATCTCTGATGCTTGGTATTCTTCTTCAGTTTCTCCTGATAAGTTATTTATGTAGCTTTCCTCATTTCCGGTTTGCACTTGAATGTATTGTGTCATGAATATGGTCTTATTTCTGTAGAATACAATTTTGTTTTCACAAAACAGCCTTCATTTTAGTAATTTCTCTTACTGCAAAATAATAGTCTTAGGCTTTTAGAAAAAAATAGATAGCATTGCCATTAAAAGAACAATAGTTAAAATTGAACAGTAGTACAGTTGTCCCAAAAAAATCAGACACAACTAAAGGAGTAAAGACCATCCTTTGAATAACAGAATTCAAATTTGTCAAGCGTGAAAGATCAGGGCCACACATGAAGTTCTGATTAAACTTATTTATTACTAGTCCTGCCTATGCACAGCTCAACTAATGGTTATTATTATCTTGGCATTAGATAAGGGTCAACAGAATTCAAGATGAGTTGAACGTAGTCCATTTGTGGCTACATAGAGACGCTAGGCCGATTCCTCTTTTGACTCCTCCCCAAGGTTCTGCCATTTTTGTCCTACAATTAGATGGACATGTAGACTTGTAAACTGTGAGTGTGTATTAAAGGGAATGTTGAAGTATAGCTAGATTAGACTAGACTAGACTAGACTAGACTAGACTAGACTGGTAAACTGTGAGTGTGTTTTAAAGGGAATGTTGAAGTATAGCTAGATTAGAATAAATGAAAAACTTATAATTAAAAGAGGGAAAACTTCCAAATAAATAGGAAGACTATTGGACTACCACATTGGAAGAGGCAGGCACATTCACAGATGATAGAATAAATGAGCACACATTCCAGTAGAGAGAAGTTCCCTGAGGATGGGCTCCAGCACAAGTCCAAAATCTCAGAAGACTAAACCTCTGGTCCCAGTGACTGATCCAGATTGGATCCTGCAGAATAAACGAGTTCTTAACATTCACTGCTTCAGACAGGAATTTAGTGCAGAGAGTGGTGAGGATGGCTGAAAAGATCATTGGTAGTTCCCTCCCTTCCACCCAGACATAGCACATAAGTGTCACAAGATTGTCTGGGACACTCATATCCTCTTCACGATCTGTTTTCTTTGTTACCTTCTGGAAGGAGACTTCGTGGTATCTGAAGCAGAACATCCAAATTCAGTCACAGTTTTGTTCCGTACAGTATGAACCTTGTGAGCTCTAAAGCTTTCTCCTTCCGTTATGTATTCAAGATGGACAGTGATTAATATTTATATGTTACTTATATGTAAGGGTGTAGGTCTATATACATGTTGTATATAGTATGTTTTAAATGTGTGTTATGTATGTGTACACTTTGAGAGCAAGCAACTAAATTTCATTTTTAATGTGTGCCATTGTGCCCACAGGAAAAAAATGACAATAAAGGTTATCTAATCTAATCTAATCATATCTAATCATCTAAACAAGGAACCGTGTTGGAAAGGGTCCAACACTTGAATTATTCTTCTTGGGTGATGAATTGTAAGAAATTTTGCTTTTCAAAATAGATTTTGAAGGACGTTCATGGATTTGAAGAAGGGCAAATCAAGGAGACCAGATGTTCTTCTAAAAACATTGGGTATGAAAATGACATAGGCACGTTGGCATCCAAGCACCTTCTTCTGAGTCTTACTCATAGACACACACATCCCTTTAACTCCAGATAAGGTCAAGTAATTTGATCGATCTGACTGGAATGCTTGGCTAATTATTAAAAGTCAAAGGTGGATATGGCTAGTAAATACATATTCCAGGAAAGAGTTTGCATAGTATTGATTGTGTAGAGCAGAGCATGCTGTAAAATGCCTATTGAATTCCTAGTAATAATTAAAGCCATACTTGAGGATTTATGAGTGAAATGACATCAAGTCAGAAAATATGAAAGAAGTATATGTGCACTCAAATTACAACCCATTCGTTGTCGCTCTGCAATGCAAGTTGGAATGAATGTAAGAAAAATTTGCCTCACTGCTAATGAACCTGCAGAGGGCGGAGCAGATTGTTTTGTAATGAATTAATTGCTGCCTCCCCCCCCCCTTCTTGTTAGACTTTCTGCTTATAGCTGGAAAAGTACAAGCTATTTGATGACGTTTTAGATCAGGTTTCTCCAAAATGGTCAATAGTGACCCTCTGGAGTTAGTTGGACTATCCAAGGGGTCAATGGTGTTATTATTATTATTGTTATTAGTTAAAATAGTAAGTGTTAAATTATTTTCATATAATAAATATTTGGTGGAGTAATGAATTATCTGAAATTTCATGAAGGAGTTGATGAGTTGAAAAGTTTTGGGGGTCTTGTTTTTGAATGGTTGAGAATGAGATTCATAAATTTTGAGTAGTCCTAGTGCTAAATAATGATTACATGTAAAGCACATTATAGTCACGGCTCCCAAAGACATTAGCATATTTAACCATCCTGAGTTTAAGATTATGTGCTCCCAAAAGAAAGGAGATGGGAGTGGGGGAAGTACACAGAAAAATGTAGTGTCCAAATTATCATCTTTCTATTGAGTTAATACAGTTTATTTTAAACAGTGCCTGACACACGCAGCCTGGTTGTCCTTATGAAAAACTATCACTGTCTTATCACCCTTATTTTTGTTTTATTTATTTATATCCCATCTTATTGTTTTGTTTTATTTATTTATATCCCATCTTTATTATGTTTATAAGTCATTCAAGGCGGCAAACAACATAATGCTGTTTCCTTCTCTTCTTTTCCCCACAACAATGTTTGATTGTGAGAGGGTGGCTGGACCAAAGCCATCCAACCGCTTCCATGCCTAAGGTGGAACTAGAATTTATAGTCTCCTGGTAATTGGCCCAAATCCACCCAACTGGCTTTCATGCCTAAGGCGGGACTAGAATTCACCGTCTCCTGGCTTCTACCTAGTGCCTTAAACACTGAACTAAATACGGTTTTCAGGGTTTTTTGAAGACTGCTAAATCTTTAAATTTGAGGATCTGCTGTGGCAAAAGTTATATTTCCTACCACCGTCAATCATCTAGAAAGAAATGGATTTCAGTATTTCCATCAGGTAGCAATGGATTTTCACATTGAATGTCTAGGGTCTAGTCTGCTCAGATGTCAGCATAGTATTTAAAATACCACAGTGCGGTATTTAAAATAAGCTGGAGTTTGTGCAAAAAAACTTTAGAAATAACCTCATTAGGATAATTAAGCATCTGTGCATGGAGGGGGTCCCCCTCTTCTTCCATATGTGGCAAGATTTATTAAGTTATCATTTCTTGTCATTCTTGAATATTTTTGCAGTGCAGCTTGTAGATGCCAGTTTGCCTGTAGGTAAACAAAAGAATCAGACCAGATTTTGCTGGCAGACTGTGTATACATAATATGACACTACAAAAGGAGAACACGGGATGCCAGTTGAAACAGGGAAAACATACTAAGGTGTACAGAGAAATGAGAGCCATACCGGTGACTAAATAAACAATAGCTTATTTTAGCTTATTTTACTACCTCCTTTCATATTACAGAATTGTCTGGTATATTGCAGTATAATACTACAGTAATAGAGTAGTGTTAACTTTAAAATATCCAGGATTCAATTAAATGGTTTCTGCTGTAGTGGAAACCGCTGGATCTTGATCTGTTTCTATTTCACTGTTTATTAATTAGGACACAATGTCATCTTTGAAGAGGGATCTCTGGGAAAAATGGATCTACTTGGCTTTGCTTTGGATCCTAGTAATCTCTCATTTCATGCCTTTTGCTGTCTTTATTCCCATTGAATTAAGCTTATTTACTGCCCTTGTTTTTGGGGTAACCAGATATGATTGAGGGAAGATTTTATTCGAGGAAATATTTTCATGATAGTTTTCTGCAGTGAACAAGTGCTCTCCTAAGAGCCATTATGGAATAAATAAATTCCATAATGTAGAATAAATTTATATTTGACTCTGTGAGTGGTTAGGTTAGCATGAGTAGCTAATCTCTTTTTGATCTTGGTTCATAATATTAGGGCAGTGGTTCTCAACCTGTGGGTCGGGACCCCATTTGGGATTGATCGACCATTTCATGGGGGTCGTCAAGCAAGGCTGTCCGCCATTTTTTTTGTCCGCCATTTTTTTTGTCCATTTTTTTCCCCCTTTTCCGGCAGGTGCCTTACCTCCCTTGGGCTGGGCCAGCTGGTGGTCGGCCTGCTCCGTCTCTGCCACTTGCCAGCTACGCCTCGGCCGGTGCAGGGGGCAGAACCACGCATGCGCGGCGCTCCCGGGCAGGGAAAGTCCTCGACTTACGACCGGTTGGGTAGTCCTCGACTTACGACCGGTTTAGTCCTTGACTTACGACCGGTTTAGTCCTCGATGTATGACCGGTTTAGTCCTCGACTTACGACCGGTTGGGGTCGCGGCATTAAAAAGGTTGAGAACCACTATATTAGGGGATCTTTAATGCAATAATTATCTTCATAGCGATTCAAAGTTGGTGAAAACTATTGAATCCAGTTTTCTTAGGTATCTAATTGCCATCGAAAAGTTTACTAATTTTACTTGGCTGACAAATAGTTGCCAGTGTTGGTGGTTAAGCTAGGTAGAATGTTCTTGAGGCATAAACTCTTTTTCTCTGTGTGTGTTTGTGTCTCTACACATACATACATACGTATGTTCATTCTCCTCTGTTCTCTTCCTGGGATGAATTCCAAGCCAGCAAAAGGCAAACTGAATTAATGTAGCAGTGACATATGCCAGCAAAAAGTGTTT